CAATTTCAGCGGGAAAATTTATAAAGGCTGCAGCTAGAAACAAAATTTAAACATTTGTGTCAGCACAGATTCTTGGTGTTTTAGACTTTAAAAGGCATGGAAATATTCAGTTTACATAGGAATAAATGGAAGAGCATCACCTTGGCTGCAAAATGTAGGAAAATCCTGAAGTAGTAAAGAAATACTGTATTGCAGAGAAACAGAATTAAAAATCTGGAAAGCTATAAATTATCACAGGACAGCCAGTGATGCATCTTAAAGCCTTAATAAACAATTCAGTACAAAATTAAAGAAATACACAGTTATAAAGGCTGGCAAAAAAAGGAAATGCTGCAACATTGTTATAGTACAGAGTCTATCAAGTTCTGCAGTCATTCAATATAAAACAGCATTGTTGAGTATGTTTTTCTTTTATAAAAACACATGCATAGAGTGACTCTTGCCTCACAGTCCAGTGATGTTTGGGCTCTGTCAATTTCAATGTTTAGTATCTGGTCACTGGAAAGCCACATTTAAGGCTTGGCAATGTAGCGATAACTCTGACTGACCAGGGGTCTCTGGAGTGGGCCAAATCTGCATCTCATTGTGGACATTGGTTTCTGGCCATGGCTGCGTATGAATTGGCCACTTTGCCTCATATCACATGAATGCTGTTTACAACACATGGGTTTGCAAGCATGCTATCATGAATGCCATTGCCTTGCCAGACCGTACCATATCATTGAAATTCTTGTGGCACTGTCTCATGGTCATGTAACTACCCTGCGACTGCTGACTTCCTCAGTCATCTCCAATCATTCCTTCTGAAAGAGACCACCTCCTCCATCCACAGGCAACTGCATCTCTCGCCATCTCCCCACTGCCTAAAGGAACACCTCCAGGGGGACATCGCTGAGTCTTGGATCTACTCCTCTAATGACTCCATCCATAAGACGATAAGCTATCGGAGCATAATTAGGCCATTCAGCCCATCATGTCTGCTCTGCCATTCAATCATGGCTGATATGATTCTCAACCCCATTCTCCTGCCTTCCCCCTGCAACCTTCAATCCCCTTACTAATCAAGAACCTATTTATCTCTGTCTTAAATACACTCAATGACTTTTCCTCCATAACTTTCTGTGGAAATGAGTTCCACAGATTCACCAGCCTCTGGCTGAAGCCATTTCTGCACAACCTCCCTTCTTGTGTTGCCCTTCCCAATGGCCTTTATGTCAGCAGCCTATTTGAAGACTGTCCTTCAAAAATGGAGCCTTCCTTTGCCATTACCAGAACTCCTTCCCAAATGCTATCTATTATTGACTCCCCTGCTGCGAAGCATTAATTAGTTGCTGATAGAAACTTTGCAAAGAATGCGCTGCTGCTTAATTACAATCCCAGCATCGGGACTTCCTTTCAATCCTGAAAATCTGTACCATGTATCTGCTCACGGCAATTTAAGTTGGAATAACAGGAATTTGTTCACTGCAATTTCAATGGAATAAACTGTAAAGGAGAAAAAGTAGTGTTGGAGAAGGAAGAGAACGTATTGTATCAGCAGAGACATTTGTATAGGATTTCTCAGCTCTGAAAGTGTAGAATTTATCTTCCTTGTATATCATGGGACATCAGGTAAGGAGGTTTGGGAGGAAATATTAAGTAGAAAGTAAATGTCACCTTCACAAGCAAATATCAATTATGTTGGAAATGAATATTTGCACTAAACTAATGGAAATCAGTGTTCTCCTATGAGACAGCACTGTATTCCCACTTCTCAAGCATTGAGCCATGCAAAGAATGCCCAGCTTCAGCCTGTGTGAGGTAGCTAATCGCAGCTGTGGTGGCAGCAAGGTGCCACATCAGTGCTTCCAGCCAGGGAGCAGAGCTGAGCAGCCAAGGCTCCTGCTCCTTGATGTGAGACCTATTGTACAGTTGAAGCATGTGGATGCTGAGTGAGAACAGAAGCTATTGTGGCTGTGATCCCCCAAAGTTAAATAGCCGGCTTCCAGTCCCTGATTACTGCTCACACATGTAGAAGCATCACTTGTGAGATACTGTAACGTGTCTTTGGCCTGCACATTTCATCTCCAGCATAAAGCAGTACCACAATGAGAAAACACAACACAAAGCAGAAAGAAGAAAACGTTAATAGGGATCACACTACAAACTTTTATATTCATCCATTAATTTGTCATTTTTTACCACAGACCCCATTTGTTTCCTACATATTTGTTCAAGCAGATTACACTACTATTTAACAAATATGCATAACTTTCAGATAATATACTGTATTTATAATACATTTAAGACCTTGCTGCTACATGCACATCTGTCAACATTTTCCAAACTCCCTTTAAGATGGAACTTGCTAATGTAAACTTGCCATAATGTAACTATATCCTTCTACCACTGGTGACACTAAAGTGCCTTGGTTTTGTATCCCCTTGCTCCTTGGGCTGAACTGCAGGAAGGTTCTGCCACTATCCCTGCTAAATCTGAACATTAAAGAGAAAGATTTAAAGATTGACTACAATTAAGTTTAGAATTCACCAAACTGCAAGTTAAAACTTTAATATTGTGAACATTAATATCCTACATGCAATATGTTATTGTCTAACAGAAAATCATAATGAAGTCACAGTGGATTCTGGATCATAGAATACCAAAGTGTGGAAAGAGGCCATTCAGCTCATTGAGTTTGCACAAACCCTCTGAAAGGCAATTTACCCTGACCCCACATTAACCATGGCTATACCACTTGACCTGCACACTACAGGGCAATTTAGCATGGCCAATCAACCTAACATGCACATCTTAAGACTGTGGGAAGAAACCGGGGCACCCAGCAGAAATCCACACTAACATTAGGAGAACATGCAAACACTGCATAAACATTCATCCAAGGCTAGAATTGATCCTGGGTTCTGGGCCCTGTGAGGCAGCAGTGCTAACTACTGAGCCATCATACCATTATCATTTAGAACAACATTATGTCAAACAGTCTATTCACATAAAGGATATGTTACTGGGAACAACACTGTTTGCACTGTAAAAAAAGGGAAGAAAATGAAACAGATTACTTTGTTTTTGATATCTGGTTTCATGTAAAGGCAGGTTTTGCTTTACATTGTGCTAATCTGTGTTGTATAATGTTATAATTGTCAGTAATTATTTTATACAAATAGACCATCATTCATACCTTGTTTCCCAAATGTTGATAGTTTAAATTAGAAGTTAATGCAGGATTTCACAAGTGTTTTAATATTATAAAGGTACAGTGCATGGGAGCCATATGGTGTCCTTCCATCTGCCACATTTCATACCATTGGCCCCTGGGAAACCAACAATGTTTGAGGAAATATGGCTATATGAACGTGCCATCAGATTAAAGGAGTTTCATGGAATTAAATACGGCAAATCTTTTCCCTTGATACAGCTCCTGTTTGGCTGGATTTTCGGGCAGAAAACAGCATAAGTTCCCCCACTTGAATTTTTAAAATTCAAATGGGAAAAAGGATGTACAGAGGCTGCTTTCTCTAATCAGTAGAAAAAACTGCTGAATAACATAAAAACAGGATTAATTAGCTAAAATCTGCTTTTATTAAGTAGGTTTCAGTTTCACGTGTCAGTTAAATCTGTTTCATTTAAAATTTTGATGCTTTTGACATTATTTTTCTTTTGCATATGAAAGCCCAGCTGATCAATCTGCAAAAACAACTTTGTTGAGAACGACACTTTTACACACTTCAGACACTTTTGAAGACAAACTTCAAATGTCTAACTGTGGACAATCATTCACAAATGGATTGTGTTGCAGCAATAATTAAAAAAAAATTAATAGGGTATTAGAATTTTCATTCAGCTGACTGAATAGGGAAATGGTATTTAATTTCCAAGGCATGTATCTATCACATTACAAAATACTATCCTTTGCACTACTTTAGTCATGAAGATCATAAAGGACACACTACAAACTCCTCCGTTGCTCCAGAACATGATTGATAGGATTAAAAAAATCTCTCCTTTCCATATCAAAAGCTGCATAATCACACAAGCTTCTATTTTGAACAACCATCAATGTTCACATCTACCTACTCTGGCTCAGTGATTTCGACATGAAAGTATACATGCAAGATTAAGGCATATCTTCCCTTGATCATGAACATGTCTCTGTTGACAATTTTTGCTGCTTCTTCCTTTAATATTTCAGATTTGTGATGGCATGGATGTGAGGTTTCCAGGTTGATAGCTATATCTGCTCCAGTCAACATTTGAACAGCAGCCTAACTCAAAAATAACTGATTTTCTTCCTGATGTTCCATGAATAAAGACTTTGACAGTCAGTCATATAAAGGGTTATAATAAAACCTAAGCACTCAAATCACTTCTGAATTCAACATTCGGATTCAGTGACATAACAAAAATAAGTCAACAATCACTGACCATCATTAATTAAAAACCACCATAATGTATTACTAGAGACAAAATCACGCAGATGCTGGAATCCAAGGTAAACAAACAGGAGGTTGGAAGAACACAGCGAGCCAGGCAGCATCTGAAGTAAAGGAGCAGTCAACATTTCAGGTATTATCCTTCTTCAGGCCTGGACCAGTTCCAAAACGTTGACTGCTCCTTTCTTTCAGATGCTGCCTGGCTTGATGTTTTCTTCCAACCTCCTGTTTGTCTACATAATATATTACTAATTGAGAATCCAGATTAACAGATACAGGGACCTGTGCAGTCCAGCTGTTGACATCCAGCATCTGTTGACATATTGTCTAATCTTTAATTCTGGAATGACATAGGTTTTATGATCATTTCAATGGGATTCACTTAAATCTGAAAAAAAAACAAATTATGCACTTTCTATTTTGTTTTCCCTCTTAAATGTCCACTGCTGTGAAAATGAGGCATGTACACCAAAACTATTGGTTCTGGTGGGAAAGGGTACTGACCAACTTTGGAGGTGGTGACAGTGTCCTTAATGTTTTATAATTCTGGATATAATTTTGTAATCACAGGCTCAGGGGAGAGCAAAGAAACAAGTCCAGCAGAACCAGCAAGTCCCACAGTAGGCCTGGACAGAAAAACAAGGCGGAAATTTTTGGACCTTGGGTAGGTGTCATTGCAATTAAAATAAAATAATTAATGAATCTTTGCTCTTTTTACGTAACACAGCAAAACAAAGCAGATGGAGAAATTGTATAAATCTAAGCATTTTAATCTGTAATTTACCATTTTAAAAATGCGTATAAGACAACAACGAACAATGTAGAACAATGCCCATTTCATTATATCATCTAACAGTCATCGACTTTAACATTTATAACAATTATGAAAGTTTTAACATTATTGAGTTTTGGGGGTGTGACTTTAAACTTAATTGTTTGTGTAAACTGTGGTAAAACTTGCCTAACTGTAAGCCTGGGTCATTTGACTGTCGGATATCAAAAAATAACTTTGATTACTTCACTAGGAAGAAAGTACAAGATACTTACACCTGCAGACAATGGCAGCTGTCTTTATGTTAACATTGGAGACTATGAGTCTCCAAAGTCCTAGAAAGATGATGAGAATGTTAAGCCGTAAGCAAATGTGCTTTAAACTCTCCATCTAGTTTTGAGATGAAAGTGAGTTAGGTTCTTCAGGATTTCGAAGTAGCATTTCTACCTAAATATCAGGTCAATGTGATTCATATTTACATAGGAAAGAATAAAGATGAAACCATCATAAAGATCAAATCATGAGCTTTCCTAGAACATGACAGAGTATCACAGAAACTGACTTGACACCTGCCTGGATCTTGGAGAGAGGAAGGAACTAGAGGCCAAAAGAATGCTGTGTGGCTCACCACACAGGAATGCAAACATGTGCACAAATTGCAATGAAGATGGCAGCGGCAGACTAGCAGCATTGAGCCTGGGGCTTATCTACTCCCATTTGCTTTCTTTTTTTTTAAAACCAAAAAAACTGCAGATGCTGTAAAGCAGGAACAAAAACAGAAGCTGCTGGAAAAGCTCAAAGGGTCTGGCAGCACCTGTGAAGAAAAATCAGAATTAACGTTTTGGGTCCAGATTACCTGAGGAAGGGTCACTGGACCTGAAACGTCAACTCTGGCTTTTTTTCACAGATGCTGCCAGACCTGCTGAGCTTTTCCAGCAACTTCTGTTTCTGTTGCTTTCTTTCTTTTTACTTTTGCTCTTTTTTCCTTTTTTTTTCTTTAAAGCTTTTTACGGTGATTTGGCAGCACTGGTATGGCAGCGAGAGCGGGTTGTGCAGGGCCTGGCAGCAGCTTCCCAGTGGCTGGGGGTGGCAGTTGGGATCAGAGGCAGCAGCTTCCCGGGCTCCTCTCAGCGATTAGAGGAGGCGGCAGCAGTGAGGGCAGGCCTTTCACATAATGGCGGCAGCATCTTTCAGTGTTCAGGGGCAGCGGCGGCAGTGGCAAAGCTACTCCCGGTGATTGGAGGTGGTGGGAGCATCATCAGCAGCAACAAGAACATGGCTGCTCCCAGCAAGACTCGCAGGCTGACCTATGCTCGAGGCCGTGACTAGGCATGGGAGCCTGCGTTGGTGGTTGACCATTCCAAACACCTTCATCGAGATAAGACTTTAGAGTCTAAGATCTGGACATTTTCTTACCTTTTGGCTGTTTTCCTAAGAACAGAAACCTCACTTTAAAAACTGTTCTAAGAATGCAAGCTACCAGCGTGAGGAATGCAAAGAAATAAACTCTTGGGTGCTAAGAATCACTTTGTATCGCTTTTGAGCAAAATTGCATATCTACGCAAAGAACGTTACGACGTGACCCTGTGAAGTGTGTTTTGTTGGTTAGGCTAAGAATTATGGGATGGTGGATATTCCATTCTGTGGTTTAAGGTTTAAGTTGCCTCCAAAGATAATGTTCAGTTAATAGTGTTTTTGGTTGTTACAGTAAGTGTTTTAAAATGTGAAATCTTGATTAAATTCTTGCAGTTGTGAACTGGAAGTCTGAACTTCTTTTTAAAAGTCATCAATTTCTATGGCGATTCCAAAATATGTGGTTATGGTTTTGACAAACCTCAGTGAGTTGCAGCAAAAGTAATTTCCAATTTGCAGTAACTGGAATATTAGAATGGAGCTGCAAAAATGCAATGGCTGCCAAATTCTTGTTGGATTCTAGCATATAACAAGCAATCAGTGAACCACCAGCCTACTGCGCATTCTGCCTGATAGTCACTTCCACCTTCAAGGGAGAAGAACATCAAGTGTAACATTGGCTGCCAGTTTGTTACCATCCTTCAAAACAAGTTTATATTCCAATGGGTATTTGGTTTCAAACTTCTAGTGCCTACTATAAACTATCTCCCATAGAATCAAATCGTAGACAACTCTTAGGAATCTTCCATTCTTTAAACTTATTTTTATCAGACCTGCCATGTACCAGCCATTTATTTTGGTTTAAAGCATTGTGTGACAAAACTCTAGCTTTTTGGTCCAATTTTACTTTACATGGAAATGAAAATCAGAAGAAATACAAATAGGTAACTGAATCAATATCACCCATTGTGGTAGTCAAGTAATTTCTAAGTGATTTTATTTATCATAATGAGTCTGCTCACATTCCTCTGGATTTAGAAGTTGGTTATCTTTCAAACTTCCTAAGACAATGGGGCATAGGCAAAGTGACTGAATTTTTACCAGAGATCAGCTAAGTGTCAATGCTGGGGAGTCTCGTGGAGAGTTTCTCTCTGAGTGCTAGTGAGTCATCATCATCATCATCATCATAGAATCCCTACATTGTGGAAACAGGCCCTTCAGCCCAACAAGTCCACAGTGACCCACAGAACATCCCACCCAGACCCACCCCTCTATAAATGACCTAATCTACACATCCCTGAACACCACAGGCAAATTTAGCATGGTCAATCCACCTAGCCTGCACATCTTTGGACTGTGGGAGGAAACTGGAGCACCTGGAGGAAACCCATGCAGACACAGGGAGAATGTAATGTCACATTTCACTGTTAAATATCTCACGCAATTCTTCACAGCTTATCCCGTAATGTACACATCACGCCTCTGTGGTGCTGCTCTTGTACTGTTACGTGTTCAGTAATGGTAAAAGTACTCACCTTTTCCTGGAACTCCCAGGATTCCTGTGGCTGGCACCATTTTTCAAGCCCCGCCATGCACTAGGTCAAGAACTGCTAGTCAACAGCGGCCCTTTACGGTGTGTGTAGTAAGGGGGAATGAGAAAGATATGCCTCTGAGAGTACTTAGGTGGCACTTCATTGCTAAGACAAGCTCTCATTTGTAAATGTATTGCTATTTTACATCATCACATGTCAAGGACAAATGTTATTTGAACTGAAACAGCAAGAATCAAGCTATAGAGGTTAACCATCCTTTGTGCCATATCATCTTAGAACCCTGTCTAAGGATTCTCTACCTTTTCCCTGTTGCCCATCGTAGCATAATGTCTTCCCATTGTTCAGTGTGGGAGCATCACATACTGGAGAGCCTTTAAACGGTTGAAAATGTTCACTTTTATTCAACAACTACAAAAACAAAGGAAGAAATTAATGAATTCTGGGCACAGACAGGAATGGCTTGCCTTTCTATCAACAACAACTTTACAGATATTTTCTCAATCAACCCATTCAGAGATTGACTACATACCTCTGGAGCAGATGGGACTTGAACTCAGGCCTCCTCGATCAAAGGCACTACCTGGTCCAAGATGGCAACAGAGTAGCTGTGCTGCGTACAAGTTCCTGGTTCAGGGCTCATCCACTTCCCTCTGCTTACTTTGTTTTTTTTTATTTTTACTTTTGCTCTTTGCTTTCATTCTTCTGGACCTTTGATTTAGAGGAACTTTTCATGATGTATGCACTATAAGTTATGTCACACAAATAAGGTAGGAGATTGTAAGTAGGGTAGGATTATGAAACTTTGAGCCCTTACAGTCAGCACGCACATTACCAAAGATAAGCAATATTGCATGTAAGAGTGTGTTGGTGAATCCATACAGTTCATGGTTAGATGAAATCCGTTCCATACCCTTGTGCAGTCCGTGAGATCTTCAACTAAGTTTCTGAATTGTGACCTGCAAGTGAAACTTTTAAGGTCACCTACTATTACTTCTGCTTCACCGTGACCACTATGATCAATCTCTAAAGACCAATGACGTGGTCATTGTGACCAGGATTTGTATCCCACACATTGGACATTGTGTGCACCGGACTCATTGGATTTGAAATGTTAACCCTATTTCTCTCTGCACAGGTGCCACCTGACCTGCAGAGTTTCTCCAGTATTTTCTGATTTTAGTATGTATTTCATATGCAGGGTACTCTGAATGTAGATATATCCTGTGTCCATGCAGATCGCAGCTTTGACTCCTGGTTCTGGACATCGCTGCCACAAATGGGCATGCGCAAGAGAAGAAATTAGGGGGAATGCTGTTCACAAGTAGAACCCACATGCTCAGAAAGGAAGAAAAACACTAACTCTGCCACCTCCTGGTGTGGTTGTAACCAGTTTCCATTTCTGTTGTGCAGTCACAATTTGTGTGAGGATAGAAAGCTACGCAGGTTGTGCGAAACAGCATGAGTCACAGGGTCAGCTTCATATTCAAGGACGTCCATACTCTTCCTCCCCAAGACCCTCCTCTGTTACTTTCTTCTTTGCACCCCCTTTCAATCCGATCAGTTCTGAGTTTCCACACATTCCCATCCACTCCTCCATTAATGTCTTCATCTTCCATCTGCAGCTTAGCTATGACAACAATCATGCTGCATTGTGTTCCCCCCCCCCCCCCCCCCTTAAAGCCAGGATGGTTGGGGGGGTATGACCTCCCCCCCACTACAGTAACTCACGTTCTCTGGTACACTAGTGTCTCTCCCACCATGCAATTTTGAGTTTCCCCCTTCACAATTATTGTCTCCTCTCCTTCCCAGCATCCTGCCTCTGATCCCCACAAGTGACTTCTGTACCACAACAGTTGCCCTTGATAACTCCTTCTGACTTTCACTGAACTGATATCCAAGGATTGATCATGGCCCACCACTTGATCTAATCAAACAGACAGCCCGACTAATGAATACCAATCCCTTGACCTACCTCTGTGCAGTTCTCGAAGTGACTTACCTGGATCACCAAAAAGTGGCATTAGGTGATTTACTCATGTAAGTAGATGGTCTAACGCCTGTTATAAGCCCTTTTAAAGAATTTAGATAAGACTAAGGAGCATACGGGAGATAAACCTATTCCTGTATTGCATCTTAAACTATCACAAAGGCCAAATTAAAAATTCCTGCCAAAAGGGAAGGTTTTCTTAAATTTAAAAAATGCATTCTATGCAGCCAGGAAGAGAAGGAAATTGACCATCGTCACATTGTCACTCCCCTACTTTCTAAGAATGTATTTGTATCACACTGCTGTTGAAGCATTGTAGACATAAGAAGCTCATGGAAAGAAAATATTAATGAGCCTGAGGAGCAATGCTAGGCCATCCTGAGGCCTTTTGGTAGATGTGCCATTGGTTATGGAACCAGCAATGAGCTATAAATAATTTCCCCTCCACGACCTGGTTAGCACCACTGTCTCACAACGCCAGGGACCCAGGTTCGATTCCAGTCTTAGGTGACGGTCTGTGTGGAGTTTGCACGTGCTCCCGGTGTCTGTGTGGGTTTCCCCGGGTGCTCTGGTTTCCTCCCACAGTCCAAAGATGTGCAGGCTAGGTGGATTGGCCATGCTAAATTGCCCATCGTGTTCAGGGATGTGTCGGTTAGATGGACTAGCCATGGGTGATGCAGGGTTATAGGGTAGGGGGTTGAGTCTGGGTGGGATACTCTTTGGAAGGTCAGTGTGGATTTGTTGGGCCAAATGGCCTGTTTCCACAATGTAGTTATTCTATGATCTATGAACATCTGCCAATTTTGCATGCAACAAAAGAAAATCTCGAAAGAAATATGAACAATACAGAAGATTGGATTACACAATGTATTCCCTCATGTGGTAAATTGCTGCGTCCATTTTCCTCTCGTATCAAATATTCATTACTTGAAGGAAATGCTTCAGATCTTTGCAGTACCCTGTTGGTGGGAGCTGTAAAAAGGCACCCATACCTCCTCCCTCACCCCCATCCCAGGCCCCAAGAAGACTTTCCACATCAAGCAGATGTTCACCTGCACATCTGCCAATGTGGTATACTGCATCCGCTGTACC